TAGGTCCGTTCCCCCCTTACTTAAAGAATGAAAACACATAATGGAGTTTTAAAATTATCTTAAATTTGAAAAAAAAATTTGTGTAATAGCAGTGTCATAACCAATGTAATTTTTCTGACTAATATACTGGCTAATAATACCCCCAAAATTCAAGTATATTCAATTTGAATCTCAATGAAATAATAAAACAAATGCACAAAAATGAATTGACAAGATTGTTCGCTAAAGAATTAATTATAATAATGAAAAGCTGATTTGTTAAGTAATTTATGGAATACCAAGCAATCACTGAAAATGATAACATAATAATAAGTTCTTGAGAGTGAAAGTTGCTTACAACTTGTGTTGACAGAAAAATCAAGTTGTAGAAAGAGACAATTGGAGACACAGTGTGGGAATTGTGCCCGATCTGACCCCACCACACCAAGGCGAAACACTAAGGGTGTGCAACAGAGCAGCAAGGGGAGCAAAGCAATGAAGTCCCTGGGGAATTCAAAAAATAAACTTTGGGTCAGGGCTTGGCAGACTGGACTGGAAAATACTCCTAAAGGTCAACAAACAGACTGGGAACTATTTATAGGCTTTTCATTTTTTGTTGTTGGTTTTGTTGTTGTTTTTTTGTTTTGTTTTGCTTTCTTGTTTTTGTTTTGTTTATTATTGTCTCTGCATGTCTATCTAGATATAGACGGGATAAACAATCGGAGGAGAAAACAACGGGTCCAGTGGTTCAGGGACACAGGAGATGGGGAGGTGGGGGAAAGGACCTGGGGGGTGTCAATCAACCCAGGGACAAGGGAACACCAAGTGTTCTAAAATTGATGGCAAGGAAGGCATAGGATGCCTGGAGGGGCTTGATCAAGGGCAATGTAGCCGAGAGAAGAATTACTGAAACCCGAATGAAGGCCAAGCATGATAGTGGGACTAGAAGAAAGTAAAAGCAAATAGAGGAAAGAACTAGGAGGCAAAGGACATTTATAGAGGTCTAAATACAGGCATGTAGATATGTGAATATATATAACGATAGGGAAATAGATTTATGTACACATCTTTATATATTAAATATTAAGGTAGCAGACGGACATTGGGCCTCTACTCAAGTACTCCCTCAATGCAAGAACACTTTGTTCTAATAACCTGGCCTTCTGTGATGCTCAGCTTCCGGGCACATTGCTGAAGACAAAATGGATGCATAGGCAAATGTGGTGAAGAAAGCTGATGGTGCCTGGCTATTAAAAGATAGTGTCTGGGGTTTTAAAGGCTTGACGATAAACAAGTGGCCTTCTAGTTGAGAAGCAACAAAGCCCACATGAAAGAAGCACACCAGCCTGTGTGAAGATGACGTGTTGATGGGATCAGGTATCAGACATCAAAGACCCAGAACAAAGAATCATATCAATGTGAGTGAGGGGGAGTGCAGAGTGGAGACCCAAAGCCCATCTGTAGACAACTGGACAAGCCCCCACAGAAGGGTCACAAGGAAGAGACGAGCCAGTCAGGATGCAGCATAGCACCGACGAAATATAAATTTCCTCTAGTTTTTTAATGCCCCCCCCCCCACTATCATGACCCTAGTTCTACCTTATAAATCCAGCTAGACCAGAGCGTGTACACTGGTACAGAAAAGAGCTGGAAACACAGGGAACCCCCAGGACAGATAAACTCCTCAACCAATAATGAGAATAGCGATACCAGGAGGGGAAAAGGGAGGTGGGGGGAGAAAGTGCAAACCGATCATAATGACCTACATATAGCCCCCACCCTGGGGGACTGGACAACAGAAAAGTGGGTGAAGGGAGACATCGATCAGTGTAAGACATGAAAAACAATATTTTATAAATTATCAGGGGTTCATGAGGGAGGGGGGCATGGAGAGGGGAAAAATGAGTTGATAACAAGGGCTCAAGGAGAAAGAAAATGTTTTGAAAATAATGATGGCAACATATGTACAAATATGCTTGACACAATGGATATATGTGTGTATTGTGATAAATGCTGTTTCCTTTTCTTTAAGAATATTCTTATCTTTATGGCTATAAGTAGTGTTAAATATATATTAAGCATTTAAGAGAAATTAACAGGGTCAGTAAGCATTTGTTGGTTGAGTGAATGGTAGTTATTAAATCTTTCTATACAAGGATGTGTATTAAAACATTTTGGAGGATAATACAGCAAAATGATTAGTGATTCTGTTATGATAAGGGAAATGTGAGTGATGAAATTTTTTTATATTTTCTATAATTTGGTAACATTTATAATGAAAAAATTTCTTTAAACTCACTTAGCCTCGTAAAGTAACCTCTCTCTTGCTTTCTGAATGTTTTATTGTGTTCAATATTTGCACCACAAATTGTGAGACTTCATCACTCTTTTCTTTAACTCTTCCTTTCAGCTAAATACGTTCAAGTTAGCCTTTATTTACATCTTTCTCTGTACACCTGTCACCAAATATATTTATTAATCTTTCTACCTCTGCCCTTTAAAATATACCTAGAATCCTGTCATTTCTCACCACCCCCATGGTTACCGTTCTGGTCAATCTTGTACCCAGAATATTGTACTTAGCATTCTAATGATCTCTGCTTTTACCCTTGTCCCTTTCCAGTATATCTCAAAATAGTAGTTAAAGTGAGTATAAGCCAGACCATGTTCCTCCACACTACAGCTTAAAACCCACTGGGGTTTTAGTAAAAACCAAAGTCATTAAAATAGCTTATACAGCCCTATTGAATCTGCTCCAACCCCAAACTCATATTCCTAGCCCTGTTTCCTAATACTTTGTGTTTACTTTTCTCTACCTAAAAATGCTTCCTGCAGACGTTCACAAGACTGGCTTGTCCTCTCCTTGAGGTCTCCACCCAGTGTCACCTTGGCAGTGAGACAGGCCTTCCCTAACCAACATACCACCCCACTCTCCCCACCCATATTCCAGAACTCTCCAGGTCACTTTTCTGCTCTATTGTTTACTTCATTACTTAGTACCATTTGACATGCTATGTATGTTTCTAAATGTGTATACGCTTATCTCTTTTTCCCAGTGAAGGCAGGGCTCTGTGCCTGTTTTACTTCATGTTATATCCTTAGCACCTAGACCAATGTCTAGCACATACCAGACTATGTATTGAATAAATGACCTTTTAATTTGTTTTATGGAATTAAGTCCTATCTCCAAAACTAATATGAAAATTCCTTGAAGGAGAGTCACATGCCACCTTTATAGGCCTTTCAGCCTTGAGCTCCCTCATACTGTAAGCACTGAATAAAACAAGGCAGGTGGGGCACACTGCTGATGAGATTAGATTGCATCTGCCTTCAGGCCAGAACTCTGTTCAAACTACGTGAGCTAAAAGGTAGTGTTCCACAGGCAAAATGAATTGATGACATAGAGTCAAAATAGCACTCGTCTTTGGTGGGAAGAAAGGCATACAGAAGCTGTGAATGGTCACGAGATGACTTTGTTAAAGGGGCACTGAAATGTTTATCTTGATCCGGGTTTATGAGTGTATGCATATGGAAAAACCTATCAAGCTGTATATTTAAGATTGGTGTGCCTTCGATACTTCATTGTACATAGATTATGCACCAGATTATGTTTTCTGAGGTATCCAGAGGAATTTGCATATGTTAAACCCCACTGCCTTTGAGGCAATTAATCGATGCAGACGTTCAGGGAGTCTTTAAAGGGTTTCTGAGACTGTAATTGTTTACCCAAGCAGATATTCTGATCTTTCTCCCAAGGAGTGAGTTTGAATCATCCACCTTGTGTTTACCAGTCCAAGATCAATGGACCATTCAATATGTTAAGTGATACTAAAAAAATTACTGTTTCATTACTGACTTTTTAAAATTCAAAGTTAATTAGAGTTTGCTTTGTTATTTTTAGAGACGACAGTAGCAGAATTTCACAAAAGAATCAAAGAAGCCTTTGAAGTATTTGACCATGAGTCGAACAATACAGTGGATGTGAGGTTTGGAAATATTTTCTGTGTTAGAATTCTAAATTACTGATATAACTGCTAAAATAGAAGAAGGTCCTTTTCTCTGTACCTTAGATTTATTATGCCACTTGTAGCATTTCTTTTCTTTGTGAAGACTCTTTGCTAATGATCTGTTCTTAATTCTTCGTTGCCTGGTGAAAAGCATAAGCCTGCATTTCTCGCGATAGGTCTGAAATCTACGAAGGAAAAGAACTGCACTGTAGCTTGTGAGAACTTGGCACAGAGTTGCCACTCAAGAAGTATTTCTTTTGTAAAGGATGACTTGCATTTAAGATATAGAAATATAAATTATCAAGCCATGAGTGGTACATTACAAAGAAAGACTGATGATGCTTAAGCAATGGTATTGTACACTCCCCAGTTAAAATAACAAGAAGAACCCAAATAGAATAAGATAAGAGAAATACATGAATACATAAAGAAATCAGAAAAAATCAAAAGGAAGGGACTATTAGAGTCTAATAGAAACCATTCTTCTAGAAAGCCAGGCTAATTGAGGATTATTTGATGGGATTATAATCTCATTCAGAACCTAGTTCCTTAGGTTTTAATAGCACTCATAGTATTTAGAACCCTTGTGGTGTAGTGGTTAACCATTGGGCGGCCATCTGCATGGTTGGGAGTTCAAACCTATCAACAGCTCCGCAGGAGAAAGGCAGTCTCAGAAACCAACAGGGCTTCACTATGAGTCAGCATTGACTCATGGCAGTGAGTGACTATTTTTAGAAGCCAAGAAAGCAGTGGGAAGCGATTTTAAAATGGTCTTAGACAGGACCACTTGAGCTAAATGGAATAAACAATATCAGACTTTACTTATGACAAATTATAACTAAATGTATTCCTTACTTCCTCCTATATGAAGGTATTGGGTGTGACTTCAGGGAGGGAATGCAATCTGTGTCATTACTTTTTAGTAATATCTTACAAAATTTTGCTTTGTATCTCCGCTATGCGTATGGACCTTCCGGTCAGGTGGAGTGTCACCCCATAATGTAGTTGGCTTGCTGTGAGCTGTGGCTCAGCTATTGCCACTGGAGTGTAAGAGTTATATGTGAGTTCATCGAGTCAAAACTACTGTCATAGCAAACCTAAGGCATATGTACTGTTTTCATTCTCATTTTTTTGCCAGTGTATATTTTCGAGTGTAAAGCCTACTTGACGTGATATTACAACAGACTGAATACAGAAGCAGATATGTGAATCTAGTGGTCTTTTATCAAACTAGACATTACAGAGATATGCAAACATGTAACACAATGCCATTCTTCTAGTTATTTTTTTGTTTTCAACAGTGTAGTTATTTCTTCATAAAAGTTATTTATGTAAAATAATGGATTCATGATTGTTATGCCTAGGTGGTGTAGTAAATAAATGTATTTTAAATCTTAGGTCTAATTTCTAATATGATATGATAATATAGATAAATATAGCCCACATAAACAAAAGCTCTTTGAGGGTTTCAAGGTTTTTTTTGTTTTTTTTTCAAGGTTTTTTTTGTTGTTGTTCATTTTATTGGGGGCTCATACAACGCTTATCACAATCCGTACATTCATCCATTGTATCAAGCACATTTGCACACGTGTTGCTATCATCATTCTCAAAACATCTGTTTTCCACTTGAGCCCCTAGCATCAGCTCCTCATTTGAGGGTTTCAAGTTTTCAGAGTGTGAAACAAGCCTTGCCACCAAAAAGTTTGAGAGCCACTGTTGTCAGTTGACATGTTCAAAAGCTCTGAGAATATGGTTAGCATATTAACTAGTACTATTGTATAAAATTATATGTTTATATAATTTAATTTGAAATTATAATTGTTAATACTAATTTTCTTGACAAATACTATGGGCTTTTAAATATAATTAATGCTGATTAATAATGTGTTTTACCTAATAAAACTCATAAAACTTCACTGTATATATTTTATATTGATCTCTTAAATACTAAGTAGTTCATTTTCTAAGTACTATTTTTCTTGCTTAATAGCTTTTGAAAACTAGCATTTTGAAAAACGTTGAGGCTGGTTTTCAATATCATGGATTAAATGTGCTTTATTTTGGTTCATAAAAAGCACAGACCGTACTATATTTTCACTTACCTTATATACTCGAGAATAAGTCGACTGAATATCAGCCAAGGCACCTAATTTTACCACAAAGCTGCATTAAAAATGTTCTGAAAAAACTCAGCTTATACACGAGTATATACGGTATATATTTTATTGCTCTGTTCGGCAATTAATAGGATTGATTCAAAATAAAAATTTGAGCAGATAATATATACACATAAGATAAAATTTCTAAAAGTATCATAGTGATAAGTAAATATAAGTAAATATCTTTATCTCTAACTTCTAGTTTTTTAATTCTAGTTTAATTTAATTACAAAGGCAACGTCTGTTAAAATTTCTGTAATTCTTCCAGAGATAGTTTTAAATATAAGTATGTGCATTTTTTAGAACAAGTGGTAAGATATTTGTACACATAATACAGCACTTTGCTTTTAGTCATTATCAATATTTTTAAAGGATCATCCTTTACTAGCCTCTGTACTGTGGTGGCTTGCATGTCGTTGGGATTGCCACTGGTATTCCAAATACCACCAGTATTTCAAATACCCAGATTGACAGGTTTCTTTGGAGCTTCCAGTCTGAAAATAGACTACAAAGAAGGAAGATAACAAGATAAATACAAAGATAACCACTTTTGAGATATTAGCCACTGAAAATATTATGAACAACAGTGGAACATTGTCAAATATTATACTGGAAGATGAATCCTTCAGGTTGGAAGACGTTCAAAATAGTATTGAGGAGTTGACCTTCAGGACATGGATGGAGGGAAGCTTTTAGGACCTTCATTTCCTGATTGGGCATGACACAGAATGAGAAGAAACAGATACAAACATCCATTAACAATCAGAATGTGGCATATATGAAGTATGAATCTTAAGAAAATTAGCAGTCATCAAAAATGAAATATAGCACATAAAGATTGATAGCCTAGGCATTAGTGAGCTGTAATGGATCAGTATTGGCCATTTTGAGTTAGACATGATACCATTTTCAGAAGCTGATAAAACCCCGAAGAAAATTACCTGGCCAAATGACTGGAAGAGATCCATATTTGTGTCAATTCCAAAGAAAGATGATGAAGCAGAGTGAAAATATATTTTAAACATATTTTAAAATAATTTTAAAATGATTATAGCAATACGTTGACAAGGAGCTGCCAGAAAGTCAAGCTGGATTCAGAAGAGGATATGGAACAAGGATTGTCATTGCTAACATCAGATGGATATTGGCTGAAAGCAGAGAATACCAGAGAGCTGTTTGCTTTTGTTTGTTTTATATGATTTACTATGCAAAAACATTTGACTGTGTAGATTGCAACACACTATAGATAATATTTCAAAGTGGGAATTCCAGAATACTTAATTGAAAGTAACAGCCTGAGTCAGGCACACCTTTGTCCTCAAAACAACATCCTTGCTGTTCATCACTTTAAAGAGGTCTCATGTAGCCCATTTTCCCAGTGCAGTAAATTGTTTGACTTTTTGACTGCTGCTCTCATGTACTGATTATGGATTCAAGGAAAATGAAATTCTTTTGCTTGAGGATTTCATGTGCTCATGAGGAAGCTATATATAGACCAAAAGGTAGTGGTTGAAATAGAACATGAGAATACTGCATGCTTTAACATTAGGAAAGGTGTTTGACAGAGTTATATCTTTTCGTGGTACTTATTTCATTTATATACTGATTAAATAATCTGAAAAGCTGGACTAGATGAAGAAGAATGTGGCATCATAATTGAAGGAAGGCTAATTAACAACCCGCAACATACACAGGACACAACTTTGTAAGCTAACAGCAAGGAAGACTTGACGCACTTGCTGATGAAGGTCAAAGACTGCAGCCTTCCGCATGGATTTCAGCTCAGTGTAAAGGGAAAATAAATCCTCTCAACTGGACCAGTAGACAATATTATGATAAGCGGAGAAATGATTGAAATTGTCAAGGGTTTAATTTTGCTTGGATCCCAATCACTTCATGAAAGCAGCAGGCAAGAAATCAGTCAACATATTACATGGGCAAGTTGCCTGCACGAGACCTCTTTATAGTGTTGAAGAGCAAGGATGTCATTTTGAGAACTAAGGTGTACCCGACCCAAGCCATATTAATTTTCAATAATCTCCTGTGCACTTGAACGTGAGACCATGAATCAGGAAGAATGAACAATAATTGATGCATTTGAATTAAGGGATTTGTTGAAAGTACCATTGGACTGCCAGAGGAACAAACAAATCTATTGTGGAAAGAGGACACTTAGAATACTCTCTAGAAATGAGAATGGTCAAACTTGTCTCATGTATTTTGGACATGTTATCAGGAGACTCCAGTCCCTGGAAAAGGGCATCATGCTTGGTTAAAGTAGAGGGCCAGCTGAAAAGAGGAGGACCCTCAATGAGATAGATTGGCACAGTGGCTGCAACAACGGACACAGGCATAACCATCGTGAAGGTGGTGAAGGACAGGGTGGTGCATAGGGTCTGTAATACATAGGGTCACTATGAGAGGAAACTGATTAGATGAAACCCAGCAAGCACATAAAAAACACCTGTGCTCCCGTATTGCTGAAATGCCATTTATTGAATTGGTTTCCCATTTATGGACATTTAATTTGTTTCCAGTTTTTTTTTGTAATGGTCAATGTGGTGATTATCTTACTATGCATGCCATTTTGTGAAAGTGAGCATTTTTCTTTAGGATAAGTTCTTGGACATATGTCAGTGCATGGATATTTTTGGTAGATGTTGCTATTTCTTACCTCCATGAGTACCTGCTTGTATATGTTCTGTACAACAAACTTTAATTGTCGAATTTTGGGAATTGTGGCAATCTGATATGGGAAAAATAGAAACTCAGTCTTACTTTTCATGTTCCTTGTTGTGAGCATCTTTTCCGATGT